CCATGGTTGGTCTTGTCACCGCGTTGCCATACTTCCTTCACTTTAAAAATAGAACATCATGCTCCTTGGAAAGGGCTTTCCTTCTGCGCACATCCAGTGTTTTGCAAGTGTCCTCAATGGTGGGCCGATATATGACGGATGATGAGCTTAGCTCTTATTTGTACCATTTGGGTACTTTATCATAACCTGCGATTCCTTACAATTAGTCCTTTCGGAAATTTATGATGGAGGTTGCAGGGGCAGACTTACAAACCCTAGGACTACTCCGGTAACTCTATACACAAGTGAAAAATCGTCCTCGCCACAAATCCGTGGAACCTCACTGCTCCACACGGTGGATCGTCGCCGTAACGAGGACGATTAGTCTCTTATAATTCCAAGTCTAGCTTCTCTAATTGCTACCTATAGTTACTTGTCGACTCCACCCGATCTGGTACAGGAGAGTCGTTTATACTATCTATCCGCTCTGGCATAATCGACACCATCTTATAGCAGCTAGAAACTGTTTTATCAGAGATATTATCCAGGCTCTTATCTCATATCTGAGCAGTTATGCACAATGGATACCGTGAAATACGATCTGTCTCTCTTCGATATTACAGCTAATTGTCTTTTCTGACAGAAGTGGCAGTAAGCTGCTATTTTTACAGCAGTATCACTGCTACTCAGATCGGATAACCCATATCATGCCGAAACGCTCTTTTGCATTTGTGTCTTTTTAAAAGTGCTTTTGTTTTCGGCGAAAATGGGTCTATGAATTGTCAAGACTTCACAAGACGATTAATGCGTGTAATTTCGAGACAGCGATATCCATCTCGATTCGAAGCGGAATTTCGAAGAGTAGCTGATAATCGTCAAATGCATCAGCAGATTTCCTGCATCTAGTGACAGAGCTGTTCAGGCCAAACCGCCGTGTCGGATAAAGATCTGTGCTGCGGAGCAAATTTTTGGCAAACTTGTCCGAGGTGCTAAGCACCAAACAGAACACCTTTATTGTGGACTATCCACAAACAGGTAACACATACAGCGCGTTGTGGGAGATACTCGTTGAAACATTATGTTCGCGCTAAATTAAACAGTACAATACTCCCTGCCGCATTTTACATAAATGATTCGGCAAACTCGTATACCGCCTACGGTCTATGAGACAAAATATCGTCAGCGCTACAAGGATCGGTGTACGGCTGTCGCGGTAAGTGACTGAATTATATTCTTAAAGTTTCAAAAATAATGCGAGGGCATTCAGCAATTAACGTGGAGTTGCTGAAACCATACCACGATCCTTCTCCATCAAGTCAGTGCTTTTTGAAAAGCTCTATCGCAAAAGCGCTAGCGTCTCTGCCATCCCTTGTAGCTGAGCTACCCTCGGCCATAAAGCAGTGACGAGTTTCTCATTGCTGGCGGCGTCTCAACTAGGTTGGGTCGTGGTATAGAAAACTCAGATAGTATCTGGCTCAAAATATTTCGAGCTCTGCCAAAATTCCCGGAGATAGACGACGTACCGGCACAGCCGAGAGACGTCATCGGTATCGCTTGATGTGCAAGGGGTCTTTATTTCAGTTATTACGATGGCAGCACGGCGGGCTAACCGGGACCGTTGTAAATACCCAGTGAAGTATGAGAGATCCATCATTTCGGAGACTCACGGGTGACTGAAGTCGTGTACATTGTATGATATCTTATGCGCGGTTCAGTAATTTGGGTGCGTCGTCATCTTTATCACCAATGAGATGAGAAGAATGTCGTATGTTCATCAACCAAGGACGTTCGCATTTTTTACTTTTATTGGCCGATGAAGGACTCAGGGAAATTAAGGACCCCCCTTGAGCAAAATTACCCAAGTGTCTTTGCCACTCATGACCTTGCGTACCCTCGGCCTTTAATTATCTCGGATAATAGGCGATGTGGTTTGTCACAACGCGCATCTCTCTCCGAATGGCGACCGCGGAAAGAGTTACGATTTTGGCTGTCTCATGGAGACGAGTGGGGATCCAAATAGCAAAACCGGAGGCGATGTTTTGTCTTATCGACATTTGCTTTGTGATTCGCAACGTCAAGCAATAGATGACACTCTAAGTGGAAGCTTACTTTCTTGAAGCTGGCTTCTAAAGCCTCGGCGCTTTGCCATCTTCAAGCACTCTACGTACATTCTTCTTTGCGGGTACAGAACTCCCACATTTCTAGTATAGGTTCAGGTGGTTTTACCAAAGGGCCAGGACCTTGGGGCTTCGAAAGAGCTTGCGAAGGGACTTTTTCACACTTAAGCGCCTCTGGGTGTGAGAGAAAGGTCTGCACTTGCGCGGTGAATGGCTTTGAACGGTTGCAACCCGTAATAATTTTAGCGGAAGTCGACGCGACTCTTGCGCTTGCAAAAAGCACAAGCTGAGTTTTTTTGCTTGGTCTAATGCGTTGGTGACGTGCATGGCATTAATGTTTGGCTCCACGGCTAGATGGCGCAACACTTTTATTGGAGAAAGGGGACGGGATCCGAGACTCGTGCAGCGAGAAGACTGTGCACAGCGTGCAATCCCTTCCTTGAAAACTCGTGTCGTCGGGTGGAAATAAAGGTTCGACTACGATGATTTCAGTTGACGAACACTCGGGATGTTCAAATTTTTTTGGTCGCGTTGGTCGCATGGCCTGCGCATATCAAAAATATTATAGAGCTACTGATTCGGCATACGGGGCGGCATCCCCGGCGCAAGCTTGCAATCTGATCAGCAGGCGCGGTAAGTGCAAAGGGTGGAGTAATGATCATCTTGGGCATCATCCTAAATATAAAAAATGAGTGTAAGTCTTGGTGTGTTTTACATCTATTCGAAAGGGGTGTAATATGTATACATTTGGTGCAGTTTTATTTTATTGCGATACTTTACAATTTAAAAATCTAGCTTTCCACTTTGGTATTATTGTGGATGTATGGCAGAAGATGATAGCAATGTAAAAACGAGGAGTTCGCGGCATACGTAGGTTCAAATAACGGCAGATTTTCTATCAGGGATAGTAAAGCATATGTGTGTAGCATAATTTAGGTATCGTTGGCTCTAGGTTTATATTTTCAAAGAACAAAAGCGCTAACTTGAAACCTAGTTTTGATATTTCCCCGATCGGTAGAAGCGCACGTAATTAATTTTGTGTAATTGATGGTGTTAGCCAATAATATTCAGTCTTTTCTCTTCAGAAAGAAAAGTGCATGACAAACCCGTTGCAGGCACGATATTCGATACAGCCTAGTGACGTACCCACATTGCAAAAATATGAGCCTTCATGAATCATTGGCAAAAAGTTGTATGCATTCGTTAATCGACTGACTAGGAAAGTACGAGAAAAGGTTTTTCTCTGATCTCTTCCTCGGTAGGGATTTTCTTTGGAGCTAGTGAGTTTTTACCAGTGGCACCGCCTGTAGTTTGTATTGCCCCAAATTGTAAACGTATAGAGAAGGAAGCATTTATATTTTTGATAACGTGAGTAGGCTGTGGTTCTGCCGAGAACAAATTTAGTTTCAGAGCTCAAAGCTTTCAAACGGTTGGAATCAACCTGTATGTACAAGTAACATTTCGTTAATTAAGGCTATTGTAGCTGCAAGCAACTGAATTTAACCTATTTATTAAAGTTTATTTAACGCTTACCTGCTGAAACGGTGTCAAATCGGACAAGCATCGGCTCGACGACGTGAGGGGTAACATCAAGAAGTTAGGAGTAGTGGATAAGATGTGCAAGCTCAAGCGGTCAGGTTGCGCCATTATATGCAACTGAGTCAGATTTACTTCCTTAGACATCGTCTAGTTTCTTTTGAAATCTTACATCAAGTGTACTTGCACCACTTGGAGAACATAGAACATAGCAAAGAGGATTCCAATCTTGTCTCCGGAATTGTCTTTATACGCAAAGAAGCATGGATCGTTTGCTTTATCGACCTATTTCTGCTCTCTGCATGTTTTTTTTGCTACCGCCTTCTTTCATCAACTCAACAATGCAATAATTATTGTATGTCCAAAATTCTTTCAGCACTGAGCTCCTCCTAGCAATCATGCGGTCTTAATATACTGAATCGCGAAGATTCTGTCCCCTAAGTTCGTGTTGATAGCCGGTGCTAACTGTACGTAAAGCTATCAGCTCGTGTGCTGTACATGTATTCTTAACGCTCTGAATATTATAAGTGACATTCTAAGGAGAAATATGACATTGATACCGAGAAAATAATGTTCTCTCCTTAATATTTTCGGGGTGGTTATAATTCTAGACTGTCGGGAAGTAACTGTATCCTCTTAACATTAACCTTCTATAAATGCGAAAGGAGGTAGAGTTGAGGCAGGTTGCGGTGTCAGTCTTCAAGAAATGCTCTGATCCGATGCTGAAAGTCCTGTCTGGCTGTTTTCGGATAGACGGTACCATCCAAACATATTACAATTCGCTATCCGTATAACAAGCAGTTTTACATTGAAAGTACAGAGAATACATAATCAACACCAGTAGAAGCTTTGTGACTACCATGATTGCAATTTTGTACCAGATGAACGTGATACTTCGAACGCTCAATGCCGCACCACCTGAGCTTGAACGAACTGAATATTTATCATACGCAACGTCACTATAAAGAAGCATTAGTAATATCATCGATCAGCAATAGTAGTATATGATTTTTTAATAATAAAGAAAGTATACATCAAAGGTCTCCGATACAAAACAGTATTCTTCCTTTCTTAAATATCAATTATGATACTTCATTTTCAATTACTTAACAATAAAACCAATATATCAAAAGAGGGTAAAGACGTTCGTAGATCCAGATGGAACTCAACATTGCAGCTACGACATCATTCTGTATGATACGGTCTATTTGAACCGAAACATGCAGTGTATGCACTTCTACGACTTTCGCAAAAACGACTGTATTGAGCACGCCAGCGTCAGCTGGTACCTCATGTAGCAGTCCACGATCTGATCTAGACATTTATCATTTTGCATTTTGCAACTCACTCCTAACTCTTGCAAACACCATGCATCACCGTATCCTACGTCGCCTGGTTTCACCTCTTACGAATTCCACTCCCTCTTTTTCAATATCCCGTCACTTTTCCGGAGTGAGACAGACAAATCTGTTCATTAACAACAAATTTGTGCCTTCGTCAACAGGTGCAACATTTGATACTATTAATCCTGCGACAGAAGAGATCATTGCGTCTGTAGCGGAGGCTACTGCTGAAGACGTTGATGCTGCTGTAGCAGCTGCTCGTACCGCTTTTAATGGTGCATGGCGTACCATTGATGCAGCTGAGCGTGGTCGACTTTTATTCCGCTTGGCAGATCTCATTGAACAAAATGGCGAAGAGTTAGCCGATTTGGAAGCATTGGATGCAGGTAAACCACGATTTCTAACACGTATTGTGGATGTAAATGCTTGTATCAACACCATTCGCTATTATGCCGGTTTTGCCGACAAGATACACGGCAAGACGATCTCTATTCCCGGACCATACTTATGCTACACAAAGGAAGAGCCTGTGGGGGTATGTGGTCAAATCACTCCATGGAATTATCCATTAATCATGATGGCTTGGAAATTGGGACCAGCTCTTACTACTGGCAACACTGTGGTACTCAAACCTGCCAAACAAACATCATTGACGGCTCTGCGTGTTGCTGAGCTCATTGTCGAAGCTGGATTTCCAGAAGGAGTCGTTAATATTGTTACGGGAGGTGGTTGCACTGTTGCCGCACACCTTGCGCAACATCCAGATGTAGACAAGATTGCGCTTACAGGTTCTACTGATACCGGAATGAAGATCATGCGCACATCACACGTTGACAATCTCAAGCGCATCAGTCTTGAACTTGGCGGTAAATCTGCTAACATCATTCTCAACGATGCTGACATCGACGCCGCAATCCAACAATCACAATTTGGTATGTTTTTAAATGCCGGACAATTGTGTATCGCTGGTAGCCGTGTGTATGTTCAAGAGGGCATCTATGACGAGTTTGTACGTCGATCGGGTGAAGCCGCTTCATCGATGAAAATTGGTGATCCACTCGACTTGTCCGTTCAACATGGTCCGCAAATTGATCAAGTTCAGTTTAATAAAATATTGCACTATATTGAGTCCGGGAAGAAGGATGGTGCTCGTCTTATTTGTGGTGGAAAGCGTTGGGGTGACCGAGGATTCTATATTGAACCAACGGTATTTGCTGATGTGACGGAAGACATGACCATTGCTCGTGAGGAAATCTTTGGTCCCGTCATGTCAATTTTCAAATTCAAAACTATTGACGAGGTTATCAAACGCGCCAATGATTCCGAGTATGGTTTGGGTGCAGGTGTTGTTACAACTAACATTGACAATGCTATCAAGATCTCTAATGGTGTGCGTGCTGGTACGGTGTACGTAAATTGTTACGCGGTGATTGAAGCCAACACACCATTTGGTGGGTTTAAAAATTCGGGAATTGGACGCGAGCAAGGAGAGCAGGGTCTGCGCAATTACCTCGAAAGCAAGACAGTAATTATTAAGCGCCCCAATGACTCCATGCCATAAACTAATATTGTCACACTCGTGATAGTAGATTGTACAATATAATTGGTTTTGTTTGACAATAATTTCTGTTTGGAGTTGAAAAGCTTTGATAACTATTATTTGTGAATACGAAGTTTTTGAATATTGTGATGCTAAAGCTTGCTCAAGGAGGGTGTGAACTAAGAACAAATTCATAAGAAGGAATACCTGTAGCTCAACAAGTTGATTGTATTTAAGTATGTAATGTATCATGAGCCTGAGCAATCGCTATGGTACTTCGAACGAATAGTGAGCAGGCTATTCAATGTCAGTAGATCGAAATGATCGAAGCCACTCAGGCCAAATTGGCAAGCAGATGAAATTATTTCGGCGCTGGTTAAGTAAGCCGTCAATGTCATACGTCTGCAGAACCTTTACCAAAGGTTGGTCAGTAACTTAAAGAAGCAAATACTCCACAAGAAAACATGGCGTCGGGAAGCGAAAAGTAGATTACCAGACGATCGGAATGATCGAAGCCGCTTGTACTAAATTTTGTCGCAGAAGAGAGATCAGTAACCTTGACAGATATTAGAGAATAACAAATTAAACTTTTATCAAAAGGTAATTTTGAATTGGGGATAATACTACCAGGACAGTCTCATCTTTTGTGATCGACACATATTCACTCTGGGAATGTGACAAATTGTAACAGTGGATGATACTCTGAGATTCTGAATCAACTATATTTTATCTAGTTGTAAGGTTCGTTCGCACTTATGAGGTGCTGGACGGTAGTTGGCGAATTTTGACTGATTCCTTCGATATATGTAAACTATCCCACTATTTCTTGCATGCATGTCGTTCCCCCTATGATGTTGCCTTTCCTTTAACTATTATGAATATGTGTATCATCTCTCCTCGAACGTGGGTCCATTCTGTACAACATGAGACCTACACTCACTAACATTTTAAAAACGTATTCTAGAATCATAGAACATGTGAGTGCGGTTCCTTACATCCAGTAATTACGCCCATGATTGTTCTCTGCAGTAGAGGGCGATCACACTCTACAGTGCAGGGCGATCAGACTCTTAAATTTGGGGCAGTGAACAAGGATGGCGCCATATCGAAAGTTTTCGGCTCGAGTTAAACAACAAGTTTGTAATTGTTAACAAGCACATCCATCGTAGCACCTTTGAAAATGTCGGAACTACTAATATCTTGTTATGACTACAACATCCCAGCAGATGCCGTTGGATGCGCCGCTGCACAGCCCTTTGCGTAGTCCTGTGCTCGATGTATGAGATGACTTGTATATAAGGACTTACTGCTGAGCTATTATGCCAAAAAACACAATTCTTTAGAGTACCGCTAAGTGTTGTGTTACAAGCGGTTATATCGGTCGTACAGTACATGAAGTAATATGCGTACGAAATTGCGAACCGGTGGTTATGATCAAAACTGCATGGCTCGATTCAAGCATGAGTGGAAAAGGTTAGTTGCTCATCCAGTGCAAGTGCTGCTCTGTAACCAGTTTCCAATAACACAAATGTCAGACTGAAACGTCGCTTAGCGCTTGACTTGCAAATTTTAGAGCGTGGGCGCTATTATACTTGCCCTCGACTCCCGTATAGGCTAAAACCAGACCAGAGCCTGATGAGACACTTACCGGCCAAAGTTTGAGCTGAGAACAAGGCCAGGCTTTTGCTAGTGGAAGCGCAAGGATGCCGCACAACTCTGCCGCTTACTCTGTAAGCGCAATAGCTGAGAGCGTTCTAACACAATTGACTAACGCTTTGCTCTAAAGCGCAAATCTCGATTTAAATCACTTTTTGCGAAAAACTTTAGTAGCTTTGCTAATTCATCACCGGGAATTGTGTCGCTGACAGAAGCAAGATAATTTGCATCTACAGTTTCCGACGAATATTATCGAACATCTCTTCCAAGAGACCAAAATGAATCGCGTGATAATGGGCTACCAATATTATGCCATAACCGATAGACTGGCGAAGGTGGCAAAAACATGCGGTGTGGATTCTACCCTTTGATACATTTTAGACATCCGCACATCAAGGCAGACTCGTTTGTCGATTTTGAATCGTCTATACACAGCACACACTGAGTCGTTATTCTATGCTCTCTCGGTGTGGCCTCCTAAGGGAGTATGTGCTTCTAAGATCCTTATCATGAAATGATGCGCATTGCGCAGGTCAGTGTTGAGATACGGCACACTTCGTGAGTTTTAAAGAGATTTACCGCCAAACAATTCAATCAAACGACACCAGAGTTTAAAGCTCCTTGCTTTGCAACGCTCTAAGAAGCTGACATGATGTGTTCAAACTCAAAGCCGTAAGTATTGCCTCGTCGATCTCCCATGTCACTTTTGTGACTTGGAAGACTTTTCAGTCTGGAAGATGCAAATTGCCGCCACAATAAATGACCCTGCTTATATTCTTTCGATGGTATGCTTGGCTGCCAATGGTATCTTTTATTCTATTTTCTGTGGGAGATGCGGCAGCGGTGTCGATGTGCCCAACGACACACGAGTTGTATCAATCCGAAATATCTTCAAGCCGAGCAGGTGTATCTTGAACTTGACAAGAGTATAGTACTTCATGTCCTGAAAAGGGTAGCTCTACTCTAAATGGCAAGAACAAGCGCAAAATTGCATTAATTCCGATGGGCTTATTCTTCAAGTGCACGACTGTTGTTTGCAAAGGCTGAAGCATCACAGACCGCGTGCGGTATTGATCGGAAGTGCCGCGATAGCGACACACACAAAGATTTCATTTTAAGCCTAAAAAATCGTCTCTCGCTTTCTAATAAAGTTGCTCAAAAATGGAATTTGTCGGCCAAAAGCATACTTAGCTAGGTTGGTAAACAGCAAATTGTAGCGCCGCCAGTCGAGCCTGCTCTTTTAAAATTTGATATAGTGTCCAGATCCGACTCCCATGCTCCGTATTACTATGAACTGTCACATCGCCGTAATAGGTGCGTACAAATGCATGAAATGACAGAAGTAGCTAATGTCGCCAAAATGCTGAACGTCAATAAAACTCTGGGTATGACCGGTCACCCAAAGCATCCCGCGAGGAGTACTCAATGCAGTAACGATACATCGCTACGTCTCATACTTACGTATAATATCCACCGATTATGTCCAGAGCACTGCACAAGGTGCGACTAACCGTGCTGTTTTGTAACATTATTTTAAGGTATCGGTGTTGCGCCAGAATGCTAACTGTACTAAGCTTTATTGAGCATGCAAGTTGTAAGCCTTTCTGTTGCGGAAAATCAGCGCTGAATGGCGTAGTTTATTTTTCACCAAATCCATATCGTGCTTGGCACGAAAAAAAACCATTTCATGACGGACTGCACGATTTAGATAAAGCATTTTAGAAATCTAATCGGCACGCCATGACATTCCATTCAACAAAAGTTGAAAGAGTCCATAATATGTTTGAGGATAGCCTTTCGACATCTACTACTCGATTCTTCAAGAGTGTTTTCAATAATTATATATAACGAATGGTGAATTCAGCTCAATCTCCGGTTACTTCACCCTTTTGCAGCTCTTGCAAACATACCCCTTTAAGATTATCACGAGCTCCTGCCTGGTTGTCGTGAAGCAGCTCAAATCCTTACACAAACCTGAAATTCCATACGCAAGTAAGTGACCTTTTCATCAACATTCAGTGAAGCTTCATTGCTGCGCTCTGAGCGCACGACATTTATTGTTGCTGAACCGGCCATTCTACTATTTCGTGACAAAAGTAGACATTACAATATAGCATCAGAGCCCGACCCAACTAGCAAAACATAAAGGTGCCTGTTTTGATGGAATTCTGTTTTGAAGACCATGGTTATAAGGCACTGTAACTAGTCTTCACAGGAGTGGTAATTGAGGCCGCGACGCACAGTTATCAGATTCGTTTAAATCTCGAGACAGCGACTCACTATCTCTTTTAGCGCCCAAATCTATTTCAAAGCTCTTGAGATTTAAGTTGCAAATATGTTGAGATTTCTCATGTCCAACACCAAAGCTGTCGTAACTTTGTCCCCGCATCAGACGCGCTCCTATGTCAAAGCAGAGTATATCTCGCTAAAGTCCATTCGCAAAGAGATTCGTGGGACCCAAGTTATCAACTTCTGGTCAATTTATGGCTCATGATCTTTTACCCGCAGAAACCAAATGGGGTTTTGAATTTCAGCAGGTCTCAAGCTTTTGGAACATTTCTTCAACAATTTAGCTATTGTGTTCGTCTCAAAACGTACAAGTATGCAATCCGTACTCGGCAGGTCCATTGCCTTTTGCTTCTACCTACGTTTTACGACAGTCATCAGTACAACATAATTACACGATGCTTCTAAACGAATTAGGTTTTTCATGGCTTCACAAATCCCGGAACTTTGGAGCCAGAGATTGTGAGCTGGCTTCCATTTTTATCTTTATTGCACGAGGTACATGTGTACTCAGCACTTTTCCATTAGGCACAGGGTGGCCTACTGGGCTCAATGCTTCCCGCGAATGATTCGTCGGTCGATGCTCCAAAGTGCATCCCCGCTCAGACAGTATTGAGCAACAATGTTTTGTGATCTTGGTTCTGTACCTGTGGGGAGCGTTTGGCACAGCTGTAACCCGAGCGACAGGTGGTGGTGCCGAGAACCCGGTGCGACGGAGCACGATCCATCGCACGAAGGCTCTCTCCAAAATTAATAGCCGTTTCATACTTTGGAAAAGGATCAAGCGCCATACCTGCCAGTATAAACTTTGAACACTAGGTATTTATGCTACTTCCCTCTTTTCTTAACAAATAAAGAACCCAACCGCGCACTATACATATGGCTAGGGAGGCTAACACATACGAAGTATGTGGCTTGAAACTTCCCACGATGGCAGTTTCGCCGGATACAGAGGTACAGCCCATTAGCGCACGCGATTTTCTAGCGTGAAACTGTTCACATTGCTGTATTCGAGACAGCACGGCATGCGTAACATGTTTTTGTCTCTAGCTGGTTCCCAGAGTGTATTGCAATCAGAAACTTAAGCCCCTGAAGCAGTTATCATTCGTCTGGGGCGCTTACTGGGTATAAAAATGCGCTGGTGAGGCATCTAAGGAGTGTCTCAACTAGACGTCTGTGAAAGCAAAACTGTCTTCCACCGAGCTAATTAGAGTGAGAAGAAAGCAAGTCAAAATCCGCACAGATTTATTGAGAACAAAAATGCCTCGCCATCAAGCAAGAGCACCGCGCAACACCGTCTAAGTTTAAGTCTGAGCGATTATTGCAAAATACCTCACTGCCAGATACAATAGGGATAGATTGCACCTTTCGCAAAGGAAGCTTTGAATCTCACGCCTCATCGTTCTTCACCAGTACAGAGCCCCGACATTCTACAGCTGATACGAAGGACAAAAGGGTAATGTGTGTGGCCGGTGCAAATCTCTATGCAGATCGAATTTACTTAGATCGGATCCCTAGCCATGAAACAGGAATCGATAGCGTAACATACTGTTGCCTTGTTTGTTTCGATCTTCTAATTGTTCTTTTCCCAATGAGGTTTTATGTTCCTTCGCTGCATTCACAAAACTTGAAGACCAGCAAAAGCAGTTATCGATCGCTGTCTTAGGTTTCATTCTGTTGTTCGAGCGCGCATCTTCGCAAAACACCTTTATGGCGTTGTTAGCTCACTGATAGTGGAAGGACCACTCTTGAGACCCTGTATCCTTTTACCGTGAAGAAATTGCCCGTGTGGCTAAGGTCGCTGCTTGAAACGGGTATGGTCATGTGAAAGCACCAATGATTGCCTTGAACTGCAAGAGAAGTACTTTTGAGCGAACCGAGCGCGGTCGACCTCTGGAGAAACTCGCTATATTTTGCTGGCTGGACCGACAGGATCCACGGTTGTACCAACTTAGTCTCGAAACTGTACTCGAACGAAACTAAACAAGAGTCAGCGGTGAATGTGGTCTGATCCTTCCGCGGAACTTCCACTGAGTGTTATTGGGGAAGTTGAGTCAAACGCTTTCTTTCGAATATACCGTTGTGCTCAAGACGTCGTTCACAGCTCAACGTATGCTGAGTTCAACGTCGAAGCTTGCTTAAAGTTGTGATAAAGGTGGTGACGGGCAATGGTGCCTCCATTGGCGAACACCTTGCATATTGTAGGTAGAAGTGTACTTACAAACAAGCTGATCTAAAGTATTAATGAGCACATGGCACCGCACACGGTGCTACCAAGCGAACTGATTTGTGATGCACCTTTCCTACAGATTGTCGTTCTCTCCGTGATAGCGTTTGCGTTCAGGTTTTTACAAGCATGCTCAATTCACCACTTGCAGTTACCTTCTCCAGCACAGAATGTCGGCGCCGAGAATGAAGATTTATTCTTACCGAATCCGCTTCGTGTTTCGAAAAAAAAGACATCATTGAAATCACCATCAAGGGTCGGGTCATTTCATGACAGTGTTCCTGTCACACATGTACTCCTCTGGTTCAGTTGGTAGAGTGTCAGTCTCATCATCTGATGGTCGCCAGAGCTACATCGGTCAAGATTGTGCTGACGGTGATACTACGATTAACAAGTCACAAGTTGATCTATCTGTATAATGTCAGCCAATGAGACATAGCTGACTGGCCTTACTTCGATGACTTTGTAGGTCATCGAAGTAAGGCCGAATCGTCTATCAATATCGATGATCCCCATGATGACAATGCCCTGTAACAAAAGTGTTGCATGCTAATATATGAAAAGCGCTGGAGTGACAAAGAATTTTACGTCGAGTCATCGAGGAGATCTAAGGTTCTTTCATTGAACAATTTAGTTTAGAAAACATTGCACTCACTCGAGTATGGCACCGCAATCCACTTACTCCAAGAGTAACTACAACCTTAACCCGAGGCATTTTGATGCAATAATCATTGCCGCCCAGAAAATCATGTTGGAAGAACCATTGTATGTGAGTGCGGGGGTGTATGAGGGCGCTGTTCACAAACATTTCGTGGTATTGGGGTGGTCGCATCAATTCTTCAGTTATTTACGAAGCAAATACACTACAAGAGTATAACAAGCACATTAAAAATCACGTTTACGATTAATGTTGCTCTCAGATTTACCAACTTCTTGTTTGACGCTCCATCAAAGTTGTTTCCATCTCAGCTCATCGCATCTGGGTAAAGCTGGAGCTATTAAATGCAGCTGGTTGACTGAAACCACTAGTAGCCGCACCACTTCCAAAGCCAAAGCCACCGCTATTAGTAGCACCAAAACCACTAGGCTGCTGTGCAGCGCTACCGAAGGATGGCGGCTGCGAGCCAAATGCTCCAAATCCAGAGCCTGCGAGTGTGCCAGTCGAAGCGACCGGTGCAGCAGAACCAAAGCCTCCACCCACGCGGGTCGCTATTCCAAAGCCAGAACCATTTCCACCAAAACCCGATTGAGTACCTCCTAAGGCAGAAGCCGAGCCGAATGCCGGAGTCGAAGATGCTGATCCTAACGTTGAAGGTGTGCCGAAGCTGCTTGTAGTCCCGAATGCTGTTGTGCTAGGAATACCAAAACCTCCCGAAGTCGAGCCCACTGGTGTCTTCTTGACGTACTTCTGTTCAAGCATTTGAAACAATTGATCTTCGCGACCCTTATATTTCGCTAATGTGGTGTCAACAGCGCTCAACTTTGAAGGGTTATATTGTTGATAAAAAGCTGTAAGCCTGTCACGGTAGTTGGTGCCTCCTGCAGCTCCAAACGTGCTAGATGCTGTTCCAAATGGCGACGGAGCACTGAACGCTGAAGTCGTCGCGGTTGTTGGCTGAAAGGCACTAAATCCACTTCCAGGAGCCGAGCCAAAGCCAGTAGAAGATTGAGTAGTCCCACCAAATGGCGATGATGCAGGAGCCTGAGCCGTTCCGAACGGAGACGCACTGGGAGCCGGTTTAGCTGCACCAAAACCAAGCGAACTAGCAGACCCGAATGACATACCGGCTGAAGTGCTAGGAGTTGAAAAAGCGCCTATATTGCCAAACGGACTTGTAATCGCACCCGAAGTTACAGGCTGAACAGCTGGACTTGCAGGCGGGACGTTGAATTCTCCACCCACATCCTTTACCTTGTACTTGAGCGCTAGATTTTGAAACAATTTGTCTTCATTACCCTTGTACTTTTGAAGGGTAGCATCCACACTACTAAGCTTATCTGGATTGTGTTTCTGGTAGAACTCTACCAACTTTTGACGATAATCTACAGCAGGCTTGCTAAAGGGCGAAGAAGTTGACGTCGGAAAAGAATTTGTTGCTGAGCTTGTCACAGATCCAAAAGATGTGCTCGCAGCAGGACCGAGACTAAACGCTGATGGAGAAGTTCCAAATGGACTACTGGTAGTCGAAGCTGAAGCTGAGACTCCGAACCCACTACCTGGGCTCTTCGCCCCGAAACTTGCAGGCGCAGGAGTCTGTGAAGCTTCTTCCACTGATACGCACTTCGGTGGCACAGGTCCTCCCTTTAAATACGTTTGAACATCTTCTGGCTTCGATGTCGGAACGTACACGGTAAAGAGTCGAGTGAATAATTCTTCCTCTCTGCCCTTGTACGTTGTCAGCGTTTTTTCCAGCGCATTTCCAAGCTTAGCGGGATTGTGCACCTTGTAAAAGTCTTCCAACCGTGATTTGTAATTAATTGTGCCAGCACCTACCGACGGCGATTGCACGGTACTTCCCCCAAAGCTAAAAGAGGAGGAAGATGCTTGAGCACCGTTTCCACCTAAAGAGAACGCAACAGTCGAATTCTCATTCGCTTTTCGCTTGTGTTTGACTGCTGGTGACTTAAATTCGAACAATGAAGTCTCTGAAGTAGCTTCAGAGACTTCATTATAGTTGACCATAGGTGCTCCAAATGTATTTTTACTACTGTCCTTTGAAAAGCTGAGCGCATTTGGCTTCGATGGGCTTGATAGGGCCAGTTTATCCTCGGTTGTTAAAGCTCCTAGACTTGGTCTCTGCGGGGCCTTTCCGACGCCCACACTCGTTTGAGGCGTTTCAACAAGCTTGACAGGCTCGTCCTTTGGTGCCAAAGCCTCAGCTAGCGCCGCTAGCTTTGATCCGGTCTTTGGTAACGCCTCTTTGAAGGAAATAGACCTTGTCGACGATGTCGCTGTGCTTACTGGAGAAGCAACACTCAACTGCGTCTTTGGCATTAATTTACTGCACGCTTTAGATCGAAGAGGCGGAACAGACGTAGATGGTGCGGGGGAAGCAAGCTTTCGAAGGGGTGTTGAGAAGACGTCACGAGGAGTAATGACATTGTTACACAAATTCAAAAAGTGTCGGCGAACCTCTTGGCTGCGCTCTTCTGACTCCGCAATCATCTCCGTCATTCCCGCCTTCGTTACTAAAGTACGAGCTTCAGCTTGGCTTCTTTGAAAAACACGAGAGCCGCTCATTTGAAACATACGATCACTACGTAGACTAAGCTTATCCAAAAATTCCGCTAATTCACACGCCTTGTTGTACTGCGCCTTTGACTTGTCATAAGTCCTTTTTAATACACGAAACAATTGCGCGGACGACACGACACCATTTCGATCAGCATTGGATTTCAATGTCGAAAGATCGCTTTCAAGCTCCACACAACACTTGCCTACCTCACTTAACTTTTTTTTCAGTGAGTCATATACCTCCTTAGATCGCGCATCAAGTGGTTGCTCGTCTAAAGTTTTTTTAAGACTCTCATCATTAAAGCTGTCAAGAATTTCACGCCCATACTCAAGCTGTTCGTGAACGTCACCATCACTTCCAATGACAAATAAAACATCTTTTTCAATTCGATCCCTTGCATCATCCAGAACGTTCAACTCATCGCAGAGGCTCGAAATCTGCTTAACTAGCTTGTCTATTTGAGACGATACCTTCTTTGAGAACTCCACATCTTCTGATAAAATACTTGTCGCGCTTTTGTTAACTCGCTTTAGCGACTTATCGAAGTCCACAATCAGCTTCCACAACTGCCCCTCCATTCGCGAAGAAGGAAGATCTTTCGAGGACTGTGTCACATTATCAAGCGGCATTGCTTTGGTCTTCGAGATAGGAATTTTATTCGCTGAAGCTTCAAATGCGCTTGTATCACCAAAGTTAAGTGTACGTTTTGTTTGTAGCTGGTCCTCGGATTTATCCCATCGCTGAGTCGCCTCTAGTTTTGACGAAAAGGTGTCAAACGAGAAGCTTGGTCGTGTCGAGCTCGTAGCCCCTGTAGATACTGGGTCACTTGGACGTGTTGATCCAAACGAGAACATTTCATTTGACTTAGGGACAACGCCGAATGGACTCTTTAGCGCAGTGGAACCGATTTGTGTTGATGAATTCGGGTTCGAGCCAAAAATGGATTTGCCTGAGAAATTAGAAGGAAAAGAAGGAGTCAAAGCTGTCGGATCGGACGTTAACGGCTGACCAAATGCAGGAGGCTTCGGCTTTCCAGTCGTGTCAGGAGGGTAGCCACCATTACTAGCAGTGCCAAATGCTGGAGGTTTTGGCTTCGACGTCGTGTCTGGCGGGTAGCCACCACAGCTAGCAGCTGCAGGCTTTGGCATTGAGTTTTGAGAAGTTCCAAAAGCTCCGAACGGTGGTGGTTTTGGCTTTGAAGTTGTGTCCGGAGGGTAGCTGCTTCCACTTAGCGCACCAGTTACAACAGGTTTTGCCTTAATTGCTGCTTCGGGAGGTTTATCAGCGCCACCTGCAGCACTAAACGCAGGGGGCTTTGGCTTTGATGTTGTATCTGGAGGATAGCTGCTGGAACTG